TTTAAATAAATTTACATATTAAAATCCTGTTCTTAGTAACAGTTTTTGTTTTTGCTGTCTGTAGAAATATAATTAAATTTCTGCAAATTAATAATATCCAACTGAACCACTATAGTTGCCTTGACATTTGTTGCATTTATTTAAGCCACAGACTAGATGACATGCATCAAGTAGTTCCAGTTAATGAAATACCTATTTCAAACATTAATTAAATTCAATAAGCCTGACAAAGACTGACTGAAAATCTCAGAGCCAAGAGAACCATTTATTAAGTGCAATTATGTGTAGCAATGACAACCACACGATGCTTGCTAATAATTCCTAATGAAATACCAACAAAGTCGTAATGAGAATATTTTTCAGCAAATCCTAGTTACAAATGTGTAACATGCACATAATTGAGTCGCTGCAAATTAATTGGCCAGCTAAAGCTGCACATGATTTTGCATTCAAATGTTAAGATTAATCACTGTCAACTAAATGCGAACAAATATATAAATTTGAATAGATACTTAAGTGTCCAAGGCATGGCCTGGCGCTTAATAATTGCGCAATCGCAACGCGATACTCACTCAAACTACTTTGCCATGACGGTGTGAATTGCAATTGCAGTTCCAATTGAATATGTTGCACTCGAAATTGAAAATGGAAATTGAAATTACACTGTGTATTCAAATTGAGTTCGATATCGTGGGGTGAAAAAGTGTTAAACAAGCGTCGTCGAGCACTTTGACTTGGCTAAATTTTTGGGTTTTTTTGGACGCGAACAAATTTCACTTGGGGCCAAGACTTTGATTAACAATCTTGGTAATGGTATTGGTTTCTTGTCTTGATGTGTATCTCAAAAATCCACACCGAAATCACTTTATTTTGTTAAATTTAAATTTACTGTGCTATGTTTTTCTGTAGGTTTTTGTTTTATTTAATTTGTTTTTATTCTTATCACTTTTTGATCTGCTAATCAGTTTGGTGACAATTTTTACGCACTTGCCAACACGATTTGATGATTTTTGGCCACGCAGCGTTAAGAGTTTTCGCGTCTGGTTCATTCAAAATTTCGCATTGAACTGAATTTCTGTGCGGATTTTCCTGTTTGGGCTGCTGCTTGCCGCTGCTGCTGCTGATGTTGCTGCTGCTGCTGCTGTTGCTGGTATTGCTGTTGCTGGTATTGCTGTTGCTGTTGTTGGTGGCGTACCGACACGACGATGGCACACGACACGAGCCACACAGCATGCTGCCATTGCCTGATTTCACTCCACAAAGCTCAGCCGGCTAAAAGAAGCCGCCAACTGAATAAGCCAAAAAAACAGCAACAGCTGTTCTTTGTTTATGTTGCCGAACTAGTTTCATGTCGCTGTTGCAGCTTATCAACATGCTGCTACTGCTGCCGCTTAGGAGGATGTTGCCTCTGCTGCACTTGACCAGCTCCGATGCGGATACTGATTTCAAGTACTTCGAGTGTTAAGTTAATATTTATAAGCCAGTTAGACAATTAATTACGAAAAGGCCTACAAGACTTCGAGGTGGCCACAAAGTAGAGTGTGGCAGCAACATGTTGCTCGTGCTTGAGGAGAGCTTATTGTTGCACAACACGAAGCCGGAAGCTTTCTTATCATATTGTTAGAGCCAGGAACATAGAGGTTTATTCATTGATAACTAAAATGTATTTTATCAATTGCAGTTTGCAATTGCATTTAGGATCAAATCGGAAATCTGTCAAAACTAAACTTAAAATATTTGCCATCTTTGAATTGGTATTTATCTATTTTTTTATATGAATATTTTTTCAAATTTTAAAAAACTCATAACAAAGAGAAAAATGCATTAATTTTAATTCGGAAATCTTACCTATACAAGTTATTATTTGATTAATAAATCTGCATCCTCAATTAAAAGTTTTAGGAAATTTAAGTTTTGTACAATTTTAACGATGTAACCCCTTATACAATTTTGAAAAAAATTGCAAAAAAAATGTTTCTTTCCAGCATGGCCAGAAAGATTCGCCTGTTGATGCTGATCAAGAATATATATATGATTTATAGGGTCGCAAATGACTTCTTCACTGATTTTTAAGCTTCTGACTAAAATTATAATGCCCTGTAAGGGTATAAAGAGAAAAGAATTTCCTCAACAAGTAATGTTCCCTTTTAAATTGCATCACTATGTTTATGACTTTAATTGATTTCACTGAAATAATGCAAAAGCGTAATTCTGCTGACCCAAATACCAAGAAATTGTATTTTCATTTCATTCAGTTTCCTGGGCGATGAGCTAAAACAAAAGAAGCAAGATCTGTACAAAAGGCTTTATAAAAAAATGAACTAAAATTCAGAATTCATGACAAAAAGCTATCAAAATTCTGAAAATAATCATCAACAATCAAAAGTCGAGTCAGGGCGATTTTTTATTGAAAAGTTAAAAATCCGAAAACAAAACAAAGTGACAGCAGCTGCATTTACGCGAACGAAACTCGATTCGAATCGCAAAAATTTTGTTGCAAACTATAGGCAGCATGGCATAAATAAGCAAATGTATTTGTACGATATCGGTAGGGGCAATTTATTTCCCTGTAGCATTTATTTATTATGAACATTTTGTCATAAAACACAGTCACAACGAGAGAGAGAGTGAGAAGCGCTCATCGTCATGTTCGTCTGTCAACGGGCAGTGCTTTAAAATATAAATATAAACAACAATAAAATACCTCTTAAATTAAGCAAATAAATAGGCATAAAATTATTTACTCGTTGCCTCTGCAAAAATATATAAAAATATATATATAAACGAGAGCGAACCCATCAACAGAACGATTTTCAGATGCTCTTCTCGAGAAACCAACAAGTTTTTAACAATTTAAACAAACTTTTAAGCTCTCAGAAATTTTACACATAATCAAAAATAGAAATAGAATTCTTCAAGTGACGTTTTTTGGGTGGGCTGTGCTAAATATCTTGAACATCTTGCTGACAGACGACAAATTTATGCATTTGCAATGCTCACTTGCCTTTTAATTGGCCTTGCAGTGTGCAATTAAAGTAAATAAAAGAGGATTTTTTTCCCCATTTCAAATGGCTTATAAATACTCAAACGACAATTTGTTGCTAACCAACACGTGGTCAGAGTTCGTTTGATTTATCTACGCCGCGGGCTAAACTTTCTTGGGTGATAAATTTCTTGGAAGTGTCGCCTTAAGCTTGTCTAATGCCACGGCACATTCAAATTTATGATTCCGAAAATGCTAATGACTAATATTCGTTTCGAATGGCTCACGTTTCGTGGGAATCTGCTGCTTTTATAATTTTCTCCAAGCATTTTGCATTTAATGTTGGGTCCACGGAGGCAGACAAGCAAGGTGACTGCTCTTGAAGTATTTATAATAATAAGTAACTACAAGTATCGTTTGATTTCCACAAGGTTACATTCGATAAATACTTAAGACTCATTTAATTAAACTCCAAATCTATTTCATATAATTTCCTTAAATTACAAATCAAAAATCCCAAGATTCTTACGCATTTCCTAGTGTATCTGCAATAGATATTGTCACAAATCCCATTCAAGGTGGCAGACAACCAAGGGTAAAGGACTTTGTGGTCAAAAGCAGGCATACAAGGCTGTCCGGAACAATAAGTTATCGAAGCGTTCACTGTTGTCGACACTTTATGGCTCATGCCCTAAACATTTAACCCCGACGCACATGCACACGAATGTTTAATGAGCTGTACTTGCGGTCACTTAAATTAAAATTATCCCAACAGAGCCAAAACCCGCTCGTAATAGGTTTTTTTGCGGCTTATCGTATGCAACAGATTGTCAACAGAAGAATTATCTGCAATGCAGAAAGAGGATAATAGCTCCTGCAGTGGCTAGTGGCCCCCAGGCACACACGTCGTATACGCAATTTGCATAATGAGGACATGAGGAAAGGAGTTGTCGTCGTCGTCGTCGTCGAAGGAAGTCTGGTTGAGCGAGGGGTTCCTGGGTTGGGAATACTCATGCCTTGGGTTTCCCGTTTCAAGGCAGACAGATGACCCAATTTTGAAAGGGTCCTTCAGCGCCTTATTGAGCCCGTGTCCGAGCCCCTTTTTTCCATGCCTTTCCTTTTCCCTCTATGCCCACTTTATGTCTTAAGTGTCTGTAACCTGAGGCTGAGCGGTCTATTTTGAGCAGTCCAGACATGGACTTTTGGCTTCGGGCCTTAAAGCTAGTTGGATACTTAAGGATTCAGACTGCGTGGCCTCGCGGAGGATACTCTTCTCTTAACACCCGTCCACGCGGCCGGTTCAAAGGTAAATAATCGGATAAATATTTGTAATAATTTTGAGGAACGTATGAAGGGGAGAGATGACTGAAACCACTTCCATGCGAAAAGCCACTGACAGCCCGCAATCAGATGCAGCTCATTAGCATTTGATTTGGCGTCGAATCAAACAAATATTTCCGGCAAAGCGAGCAAACATTGAACCTCCCAAAGTCTGTGGCCTTTGGTCTGTGTCATTGCCATTTTCCATCATCATGGCGCTCTGCTCCTCTCGTTTTTGCCATTTGCAGTTAGTTGAGCGGCAAAGTGTAAACAAATCGGCGGGAAATCTCTCACCAGCAGCGATGCCAATGAATAATGAATAATGAGCCGTGCCGAATGTGAGGTGTGAAAATCAATCGCACGAATGTGTAATCAATTGAGCTAAGTTTTTAGTTCATTAAGTTTTAAGAGTGTATACATTATTCCCTAACACTATTAGGTGTTTAAATCAATTGGAGGTAGTTCTTACCGGAACATAGAGAAAATAAACCAAGGAACATAAGGTTTAATAACATAAGAAATTAAAAATAATAAAATACTCCTTGGGTTATTATACATTTCAGAGCAAGGTTCAATGCCTAATAAAAGTACACCTTTCCGCTTTAAATATTTTCCCAAAATCCACCTACCTTAGCTTACTATTTAAGCCCTTTCCCATCAAGTTGGCCCTGTTTATTACATCTTATCGTTTCCCGAACTCTCTCAACTCATTTAAGCTAAGTTTCCCACAGAGTAAACATACATAAATGTAAAATATTCCGCAAAATATACAATTTATACAGTTTTCTGTGCACTTGCACATAATTATTATTGGTAAAAGACGCGCGCGTCAAAGATTGTTACTCTCGAGAGTTCGAGTTTTAAGGACTCCCAAAGCCGTCGCAACAATTCGGTGAGAATGGTGCGCCCCCTTCGTCGCAAGGGGATCGAGGAGGTGTATGGCTCCAAGATGGATGCCATTCATCCGGTCAAGTCAGTGGTGGTGACCCATGGAGGTGGTATGACCAAGACGGCTACAATGCGGGCAGATCGGACAGCGACTGGAGGTGGTGCAGCAGCAGGTGGTGGTACTGCACCAGGTGGGGGAATCCTCAATAACCGGCAAACGGAGCAGCGACCCCAACGCACCTTTGTGACCGAAAACGACTATTACATCACAACCAATCTGCCGATGACTCCTGGCAATTTGCGAAACGCCAACGCAACTTCCTCCCAGGTGATGACCGGCCACGTTCAGCCGTCGCCTTACAATGCCATGTCCTCGCGGCGCAACAACTTGCCCGGCAAGACCAGCGCCCGTCAGCCGCAGATGACGAAGATGCCGCACTTTTCGCTGCCCGAGAACAAAGCGAACAATAGCATCTACACTATGACCAAGCCAAGGGAAAGTCACCGCCACGGCAAGTGCAACACTCAGAGGAGCAACTATGCCTTGAACGATTGCGGCGACTTCTCCGACAAGGAGCTAATGGGAAACCATGCTCAAGGCAACAGCAACCATCGCCAGCATACCCATAGCCAGCAGATGCAATTGAGCCAGAACATGACGGTGCCGCATCCGCTGCAGCATCAGCTGCACCAGCAACAGATGTCCCAGAACAGCCAAGGCAAGCAACAACAGCAGCAGCAACATCAGCAGCAACATCAGCAACAACATCAGCAGCAGCAGTATCAGCAGCAGGTTCACCATTCACATCCGCATCCCCATCAGAAGCACTCGCGTGGACGTGGTCAGCCAAATCCGACTAGCAAGGCACACGTGAGTATTGCCGATGACGATGACGAGAAGGACGACGATCCCGAAGAGTTCTTCGAGCTTATACGCCAGACAGTACAGAAGGCCGTTGGAGTAAGTAGAAAGTCTTAGAAACTTTAAACTTATATATTCACATATCCTCTTCCTGCAGAATACCATTTCAGATGCTCTGACGAAAAACTTCCGGGATTTGGGCCACAAAATCGAGAGGTTCTCAGGCGAACTGAAGCAGACAAACGAGCAGTTGGATAAGCTGCAGGAGCAGGTCACCAGCAGTAGGTATCTCCTAGAGTTCCACAGAGCATTTTAATCCGTTCCATATACCCCTTCAGAGGTGATCTACTACGGCGAGGAGAACTCGCGACACTTCCGGTATCTGTGCATGAAATCCGAGTACGATAAGATGTTCTACCAACACCAATCCATGTTGGCCAGCAATCCGTCACCGGAAATGGTTAATGCCTCGCAGGCAGATCTCACAGCAACCGCCTCGCAGGCCTCCAATCTTGGTTGTAAGCCATCGCAGTCCCTGAAGCATACCGGCGTGAAGTTGTCCAAGAACCAACCCAAGATGGTTAACCGGCGAGACTTGAACGACATGCTGAAGCCTCAGGTTTCCTACCATAAGCCTAAGCAGCAGCATAAGACTGCGGCGGAGCCACGCAAGTCGTCCTCGGACCAGAGTCTCATAGTCAAGTCCTCAGAGATGGGCATGCGTGAGCTGCTGGGGCAAATCCAACGTTTTTGCAACCAAATGCAGATGAATGACATGGCCAAGGGAGCGAACAAGTCAATGCACAACCTCGGGGACATCATGATCTCAAAGAAACACTCCAATGACAGACTGTGTGAGCCTGGAGGCCTAATCGCAGTCGGCAGCCAAGTGGATAAAAAGGACGAAGACACCGAGCCGGATACTCCATTGGATAGCATGGATGAGTACGCAGGAATGGAAGAGTTTCAATTCTCCTCAGAAGTCTCGTCCTGCAGCGACGACGACATGTGTGGTGGAAAGTATAACACCGGAGATGTCACCACCCGTGTTGCCCCCAACCTAGGAATGCGCAATCCGGCCAACAAGGGAGCCGGAGATGGACAGTAAATCGGGCAAAATGACTCTCTGAATATATCTGGAAACAAGAAATATTTCCAGTAATTTCAAGTTTTAATCTTCCCTTGGGAATGACACAAAATTATAGAATAATTTGGTTCTAAAATTTAGGCTAGCTAACGAATCAGCTGCTCAATATGAATGTATATTTTCAATAGGGAAACTTAATCAAAAAGAACTATTCAAACTTAACATAATATTATTTTTCCGAAAAGAATAAGTAATAAATTCTCAAGGGATATGTGATTTAGAAAAGGAAAACCATCAGAATTACCTCTTTTAAAACAACAAAGAACACTCATAATATGAAACTAACCTATTTGCTCTCTGGCAGTTCCAATCCCAGCTGAGTAATGCCCATCGGTGTCACTAATAACTGCATATTATATTGACTGCAACACAAAAGGCGAATAATAACAACCTGAGCTGGCATCGAAACAAGGCAACCCCTTTAGGCCAAAATCGTCTAGTGGAAGCCAAGACCTAGCCACCCCTTTTAGCCACTACGAACCCTACTAACCAAGCAGCTAACTAACCCGCTCGAAAGGGGCTGGCCTGCAGCTGCATTTTTATGGGCTTACGGCAGTCGCGGTTCTGTTAGCTCTTCCGCTCGCTCAGTTGGCCGAAACAGTTAAAAGAGTGAACGTGGCCCGGAGGCAACCTACTGGTGCGTGTGTGCAAAAAATTACAATTTAAAAATAAATAAAAAACCCAATGCAATCAAGATTTTCATTTAAATATTCAACTTATGCAACACAACCCTGGGGAGTGACCGAGAATGACTTTTGCTGGCATTTCTCTCAACTGCAGTCCTGCTTTGGACATTAATTAAAAGTGTTATGCAAAAAGTCCAAAAACCCGGAAACAAGCTCTGCGAATGTCAAAGCCCAAGGCCCAAGAATGTTCAGCTTTCAAGGATGCCCTTCTGCGGGAAATTCAACTGGGAAAATTCTACTCAGCTTAAATGAGATAACCACAGCAGTGTTAAGAGCTAAGCTGATAGCCAATATTGGAAATAAAACACATAATAAAAGTTTGCAAAATTACAATTAGTGCTCGTCACCTTTGACATGAAAAAGTAAAAAAAGGGTGAAACCCAAAACTTTTTCTCAACCAACTGGCTAATTGCAATGACCAATATTTAAACTGGCTACCACGAGGGTGGCGTTCACATACAATATATGTATATTTATAATTATGGGAAAGCGAACACTCTAACCGAAAAAAACACTCAATGCTGAGTGACAGTTTGAGCCAATAACCATAACAACCAGCGAGTGCCCGGTCGAAGCCAAGTTAGTCAAAACAAAACGGCCAAAACAGGTGCAATTCGGTACGGTACTGGCCATAGGGTGGCTTCCAAAGCAGCTGAAAAAATACAAAACTAACTAAAAGAGTCTGAAAATAACCAATAGAACATAACATAATTGCATGGGCATTGCAAACCTGCTGCACCCGTTAATCAAATTGATTGTCCGCAAGCGAGGGAACAAAGATAAAGCCTGTTATGCGCTGGACAAATATATAAAAAACGAGAATCGCTTTAATTGACCCTAAACTCACTGAGGCGTTCAGTTTTTTTCCCCCTCCCGAGTCATGGCTAAAACCAAAAACTATTGTGGCCCAGACTGTCGGATGGCTCGGAGTGTTGCGTGAATCTGTTTAATAAGTGCGCAGCATTAAATCAAAGAACTTGCCTTAAATAAATTCTATTGATTTTCCCAAAGTGCGAGAATATCAGAAACCAGAAAGACAGTACTTTGCACTGATAGTGAGTGTGTGTAGTGTTCGGGGAAAATCACAAGGAAAATGAACAAAGTGGAAACTGTGCCAACCCAAAGTCGCCGTCTGTGTTAGTGTGACATTTTTTAATGCGATTAAAGTGCAACACTCTCCACGCAGTCGGCAAATGCTTGAAGTGGCCGGGAAAAATGGCAAAAGCTTAAAATAAAATTGTACCCATAACGATTCCAAAGCCCTGTTCAATTGCTAATTTCCAACTTACAATTTTCTTTCTGTGTTCACAGAGTGCTCGCTTTTAAAATGTTAATATCTTTCCGTGTATGTTGAAGGAAGAACTGCAATATAATTGTAATTTTTTGCTTAATTAAAAACCATTAAACACAAGCCAAGGAAGGTCATGGCTTCGAGGCAGTCTGGCCGCAGGCAGCCATTACCATTGGGTGAGTACTCAGTACATGATGTAAGGCCAAGGGAAAATGCACTGGCACAAGTGGAAACTGGACAATGGAAACCACTCAGAGGGGATTTCCTATACTTCTTCAGAGATTTGTAAAAGCGAAGACGGTTTCTTGATTGACTCCTTTTTCTGTGAAAAGGAATTCAAACATTAGGGAAGCTTAAGAAGGCCTTTTATTGCGAATGCTTGTACAACTCTGTACTTTAGTTTCTCTGAGAATATATTTGTTTAAGTAGTCTTATATTGAAAGTGAGTCATTTTCTATTAATTTGTACAAAGTTCTTGACAAACCTTAAACGATTTCATATAAAAATCAAGACAGGAAGCTAAATTTATAAATTCGTAACAAAAAAATCAAATATGTGTATTCTAGGTATGTATTTTTTAACATTTACATGTTCATTTTGAAAAAAATTTTTAAAATTATATTTTTACGGGGCATGACTAGATCGACTCTGTTTTTAATGCTGATCAATAATATATATGATTTACAGGGTCAGAAATGATTCCTTCCTCCTTTTCAAACTTCTGACTATAATTATTATACCCTTCAAGAGTATTTACTTATATGTATATAGCAAGGTTGGCGCCAAAGTTAGGGTCAGTTTTCAAAGTGATCGTTAGGGTAAGAAATCAACATAAACTTTTAGTAATTTTAAGTATACGTTTGTAAATATAAATAAAAAAAATTGCTATATTACTTCAAATTAAAATTAGGTAATAGAGTCCATGGTTATAAGGGAACTAATTGGAAAATAAAGGCAAACTTAGGTCAGCTGATTACAGACCCAGTCTTGATCCCACCTTTAGCATCTTTAAACATGATATAATAATATTAGTTATGTATTACCGCATTATCGTGTATCTTCGAAGTGAGCTTCTTCTTCTTCCTGGTTATCGAGATGCATTGCATTTGGGCAATCACTATCACTACCTTTATCACTATCACCATCAGAATACATGTCAACACTTGGGAGGCTGCGGACAGAATGAGGGCGGAGCGGCCGGCAGTGTCTGTATTTATAGTCTGCGAGTAAAGAGAAGAGCAGAGAAAGCGGGAGCGAGAGCGCGAAAGAGAAAGAGCTATTTCTAGAGTGGCAGAGGGAGGTAGAGGAAAAGAGTTATCTCTATAGAGATACACAGAGAGACATAGACAAACCAAAAAAGTGAGAGTTAAAGAGAGAGCAAGAGAAAGAGAGCTCATATAATAATTAGTAGCTTATAAAATTCACTTTATAAAATATATTTTAAATATTACTCAACTATTTTTAGCCCTGCTATGTGTACTTATCGCTCTCCCCTGCATCTTGGAGTGCCAGGGCATTGAGGTGACATCACCGACCAAGAAATCCGCTCCCCTACGCATAACCAAACCACAGCCCACAAGTCAGCAGGTCAAACCCAGCAGTATTACCGCAAAGCCACCAGCCACAACAGTGGCCATGGCCCCAACCACCACCAATGATGGTGCCTCCAGCTCCAGCTCCACCTCCGGAGTCAGTCCGAGCTGGCACGATGGACAGCTGGCCCCGCTCATATCGTCCACCACGGAAAGCAGCAGCAGTAGCAGCAGCGACGGAACGAGTGACACTTTGGTGCCAGAGATATGTCTCAATGGCCTCCAGATAACCGTGGACAGTCCGGACGAGGGAACCGTGATACGGAAACAGGATGAGTTTGTGAAGATAATTGAGGGCGACGTGATGCTCAGTGTCCTGACCAAGGATCCCATCTCTGCGATGTTTGTTATCAATCGTCTGAATCAGGCGAATTTCCTAATGGCCGACTTTGAAATTGGTTTGTAACAAAGCCAGGAAGCCATGAATTAAGTTAAATTAAATTAAATTAAATAATTTCAGGAATTCGCGCCATTAACATTGACAATAACAGCTTGGCCGAGAATATACTCCTCCAGGAGGTTCAGTTTATGCAACAGTGCACCGACTTCTCCATGGGCATCTTCATCGACATGGAGCTGTACAAGCAACTGGAGTCGGTGATAAAGGACCTCGAGTACAATATCTGGCCCATACCAGGCACCCGGGATCATCTCTTTCCAAAAGTTGCCCATTTATTGCACCAAATGCCGTGGGGCGAGAAAATTGCCTCCGTTGAGATAGCCACCGAGACACTGGACATGTACAATGACTTCATGGAGGCTGCGCGCCAGGAGCATATGTGTCTGATGCACTTCAAGAGCGATGAGAATATCTACATCCTGTTTGGCAACAAGGTGGCCAGTCACTTTAAGGAAAACGGAACTCTGTTTGCAGTGCCCACCGATCGAACGGATGATGAGTTCCTGGCTGGTGAGTAATAGATACTTCTCCCAGATATAGTATCTTTAGGTTACTTTTTATAGATTTGCCAAACCGAGCTTTTATACTGATGGAGAATGAGATCGATTTGAGTACCAGCACTGAACTGGACAGCTCTCATACCACTCTGGATGAGATGTTGATTGGAAGGAGCATAGTGCCATCGCGGGTTCTCAGCTTTGCTGGCTCCATTGTGGACCTAATGAACTGGCTACGAGGATCTCTGGCCAAGCACTGTCAGCGGGAGAGGGAGCTGTACTCGTTGAAGACTTGCTTCAACTTCCTCAACTTTATCGAGGACTGGCGGACTTCGGAGTATAGACAGGCTCATGAGACTGCTGAGATCCTGTCGCTTCTGGCAATGCGGAAACTGGCCACAGCCATGAATTTCCAGATGTATCAAAAGAAAGTGCAGACCCTGGACAAGATCACAGGTGAATCGCGAACGGAGCTACGCGAAATAGCATCCCAGAATTTCGTGACCAATGTGACCACTTACTACCACTACAATCGGGACAACCACACAAGCCTTGAACTAAAGACCAAGTTCGGGCAGGTTTTCAACTGTCAGTATAGTGCCGGAGATAATCGGCGATATCCTTTCCTCTTTGAGGGCGAATCCGTGATGTTCTGGCGCATCAAGATGGACACCTGGGTGGCAGCGGGACTTACGGCAGCTATACTCGGCCTGATTGCCACTCTGGCCATTCTGGTCTTTATCGTCGTTCGCATCTCCCTGGGCG